AAAGAAAAGAAAGGAAAGGTGAAAGGGGAAATGAGAAAGAAAAGAAAATGAATGAAAAGTGAAGATAAATAACAGATAAAAGGAAAAACATACGTGAACAGAAACGATAGAAAACGAGGAAAAAAGAGAAGAAGGAAGAAAAGCCGAATTGTAAAGAAAGTCCACGTAAAGAAAACAGAAAAAAAGAAAGAAAAAAAAGGAAAGCTGAAAATAAAAATGAAATGAAAAAAACAAAAACAAAAACAAAAACAAAAAAAAACAGAACGACACAGACAACGTGGAAAAAGCGCAGAAGGAAAATGCACATTGTAAAGAAAGAAAGAAAGAAAGAAAGAAAGAAAGAAAGAAAGAAAGAAAAAAAGAGAGAAAGAGAGAAAAAAGAAAGGAAGAAAGAAAGAAAAAAGAAAGAACTAAAGAAAGAAAGATAAAAAAGAAAGAAAAAAGAAAGAAAGAGAGAAAAACGAAAGAGGAAAAGAATGAAAGAAAGAACAGAAGAAAGAAAGAACGAAAAAAACAGAAAGAAAAAATGAAAGAAAGAGAGAAAGAGAGAAAAAAGAAAGAAAGAACTAAAGAAAGAAAGATAAAAAAGAAAGAAAGAGAGAAAAACGAAAGAGGAAAAGAATGAAAGAAAGAACGGAAGAAAGAAAGAACGAAAAAAACAGAAAGAAAGAATGAAAGAAAAAAGAAAAAAGAAAGAAAAAATGAAGGAAGAATGAAAGAAACAAAGAAAAAGAAGGAAAGAAAAATAGAAAGGATGAAAGTAAAGAATAAAAGAAAGAAAGAAAATTAGAACATATTGGGGAAACAAAAATGAAGAAGAAAATGAGAGAGAAAAAAGAATGAATGAAGAAAGGCAATACTTTAAAGAGGAAGCATGAAAGAGAAACATGAATGAATAAAGAAAGAAGACATTTAGGAGAAGAAAAAAGTTAAAATGAAACTAGGAAAAAGTAGAGGAATAAAATTGCGAAAGAAATAAGAAAAGAAAGAAAGAAGAATGAAGAAAAGAAAGGAGGAAGAAAGAAGAAAAGAAAGAAGGAAGGAAGAAGAAAAGGAAGAAAGAAGAAAAGAAAGAAAGATGTAAATGAAGAAAGAAGAAAAGAAAGAAGAAAGAAGGAAGACGGAAAAAAGAAAGGAAGAACGAAGAAAAGAAAGAATGAAGAAAGAAAGAAGAAAAGAAAGTAAAGAGAAAAGAAAAGAAAGAAAGGAGAAAAGAAAGAAAGAAGAAATTAAAGAAAGGAGAAAAGAAAGAAAGAAGAAAAGAAAGAAAGGAGAAAAGAAAGAAAGAAAGAAAGAAAGAAGAAAAGAAAGAAAGGAGAAAAGAAAGAAAGAAGAAAAGAAAGAAAAGAGAAAAGAAAAGAAAGAAAAGAAAGAAAGAAAGAAGAAATTAAAGAAAGGAGAAAAGAAAGAAGAAAGAAAGAAAGAAAGAAAGAAAGAAAGAAAGGAGAAAAGAAAGAAAGAAGAAAAGAAAGAAAGGAGAAAAGAAAGAAAGAAAGAAAGAAAGAAAGAAAGAAGAAAGAAGAAAAGAAAGAAAGGAGAAAAGAAAGAAAGAAAGAAAGAAAGAAAGAAAGAAAGAAAGAAAGAAAGAAAAGAAAGATAGGAGAAAAGAAAGAAAGAAGAAAGAAGAAAAGAAAGAAAGGAGAAAAGAAAGAAAGAAGAAAAGAAAGAAAAGAGAAAAAAAAAGAAAGAAAAGAAAGAAAGAAAGAAGAAATTAAAGAAAGAAAGAAAGAAAGAAAGAAAGAAAGAAAGGAGAAAAGAAAGAAAGAAAGAAAGAAAAGAGAAAATAAAGAAAGAAGAAAAGAAAGAAAGGATAAAAGAAAGAAAGAAGAAAAGAAAGAAAGGATAAAAGAAAGAAAGAAGAAAAGAAAGAAAGGATAAAAGAAAGAAAGAAGAAAAAGAAAAAAAGAAGAAAAAAGAAAAGAAAGAAGAAAAGAACGAAAGGAGAAAAAAGAAAAGAAAGAAGAAAAAGAAAAGAAAAAAGAGAGAAGAAAAAAGAAAAAGAAGAAAAAAGAAAAGAAAGAAAGAAGAAAAGAAAGAAAAGAAAAACGAAGAAAAAGAAAAAGAAGAAAGAAAGGAGAAAAAAAGAAAGAAAAAAGAAAGAAGAAAAGAAAGAAATAAAAAATAGATAAAAACAAAAATGAAAATAAAGTGACAAAACTTAAAGAAAAACATAGATGGACTAAAATCAAATAATGGAAGGAAATATTAATGAAAAATATATATAAAAAAATTGAATGAAAAAAAGGAAGGAGGATAGAATGAAGAAAGAAAGAAATGAATGGAAGACGAATTAAAAAGTCAATTTAAAAAGTCACATAACAAGAAAACAAAATGCAAATAAACGAAAAAAGTAGAAGACAAGGAAATAATGAAAGAAATAAATGTGGAAGAATAAGCGGGAAGATAAAAAGATAAAAAATAAAAGCGTGAAATAAGTAAAGAAATAAATAAGGCGAGAAAATTGAATAATAAAGAAAAAATGAATAAAAAAAGAAAGAAGAAAAAAAGCAAGAAAGACAAAAAAAGATCAAAAGAAAGAAAAAGAACGAAAAAAGAAAGAAAGGCAGGAAAAGAGCAAAAAGAAAGAAGAAAGGTTAAAAAAAAAGAAAAACAAAAAAGAGCAAAAGAAAGAAAGAAAAAGAAATAAAGATAGAAAAAGAGCAGACGAAAGGAAGAAGAAAGAAAAAAGAAAGATGGACAATAAAAGAGAAGACGAAAGAAAGAATAAAAGAAAAGGAAAATTATAAACAGATCAGCAGAAGAAAGAAAGAAAAAAAAAGGGGAAAAAATAAAAACAGAGGAATAAAAAAGAACACCGAAATAAGTAACTGAAAAAAAAAGGAAAAAAAAAGAAAGAAAAATAGAAGAAAGAAGATAAAAGAAAGAAAAGGGAAAGAAAAGAATAGAGAGGGCGAAAAGGAAAAGAAAGAAAGAAAGAAGAAAGAAATGACTGAAGAAAAAAAAGAAAGACGCAGAGAAGAAGTATGAAAAAAGTAAAAATAAAAACGAAAGAAACAAATACGTAAGAAAGATTGAGAAAATGAAAGAAACAATAAAAAAATGGACAATTTATATAAAAGAAAAAAATAAGAATGATACATACCGTACTAAAAAAAAAAAAAAAGAAATAAAAAAATAGGAGAAAAAGGAGAATATATATATATATATATATATATATATATATATATATATATATATATATGGGAATTCAACTGATATTATATAAAATCAAATATTGGAACTGATTCACAGAGAGAGCTCAATGTTTTATTCAAGCAGAACATATAAACAATAGGAATTAGGATTATTTCATAATATTGATGATCATCATTTCACCTTGTAAATTCAAAAAATTTCAAATCCATCAGTTTAACAAGAAAAATTAAATTCTGCCTGGTTTTTAAAATTATTCTTAAGCCAGTTTTATTTTGATTTTCTTGTTAACCTGATGGATTTAAAATCCTTATAAATTAATTTTAATTTATAAGATTAAATAATCATCTTCAACATCATGGAGTAATCCTAATTTTTATTGTTTAATATATATATATATATATATATATATATATATATATTCAATTTTTTCTTTTCTTTTTTTATAATGAGTGGTAAAGTTGGTCTTGCTGTTTTATTTCTATAATAAAATACTGTATCCATAAGAAAATAATAATAATAATAATAATAATAATAATATATATATATATATATATACAGAGAGAGAGAGAGAGAGAGAGAGAGAGAGAAATAATGAAATGTACAAATTCCGACAATTATAAAAAGAGCGTATGAATATAAAAATGTCTTTATATATATATATATATATATATATATATATATATATATATTTATTATTTTATATTTTTTATATATATATATATATATATATATATATATATATATATATATATATATATGTGTGTACAGAATTTTATATATATATATATATATATATATATATATATATATATATATATATATATATATATATATGTACAGAATTTATATATATATATATATATATATATATATATATATATATAATGAAATGAACAAGTCCTACAATTATAAAAAAGAACGTATGAATATAAAATATGGCTGTATATATATATATATGTATATATATATTACACCAATTGAGGTGCCCAAATATATATATATATATATATATATATATATATATATATATATATATATATTAGTAATTAGTTCGATCCTCACTGCGCCCCATACTTTCGGTCACTTGAAAATCAATTATATATATATATATATATATATATATATATATATATATATATTAGTAAGTTCGATCCTTACTGAGGCCCCATACTTTCGGCCACGTTTTGAAAATCACTATATATATATATATATATGTGTGTGTGTGTGTGTGTGTGTGTGTGTGTGTGTGTGAGCAGCAGACGAAAATCTAATGGAGAATTTTCAGCGTTAAGATGTTCCCAGAGAGAGAAAAAAGGTTAAAATCTAGGAGTGGGGGCTAAATGTTGTCAGAGTTGCAAAAATGTCAGGCGTATATACGAAGCTATAATTAGGGATGTTGCATTGGATGCTCCCTGTAAGAAGCCTTCAAGAGAAAAAGGTCAAGTTTAATGCTGAGTTTTAATTAAAGACAATCAAACAGCTGTTCCGTTGATAATACCTTTCCGTAATTACTGGGCCGGCTGTTATCGTCCCTGCTGCAATAGGCAAGTTGAATTGTCTGCAGGGGATAACTTCAGTGTCGGTCGGGACGAGCTGGATCCTGCAAAACAGGGGCACCCCCACAACACGTTATTAACAAACGCCGCCATCATGATAGACGAGAAGGATGTCGGTAATGGCGGGGAGTCGTAGGACCAGGTTTAATATGTTGATGATGATCATATCTAAAGCGGAGTTCCGGTTAGTGGCGTCGATCAAGATGATGATGATGATGACGATTGAAATGTTGGCTATAACTTTTTGATAATGCCGGCTGAGATGATTTTAATGATGATATTCGTTAATTATTGCGGAAGTTGTAGTCGGAGGATGAGTAGGAGAAAGAAGGAGAAATGATATAGAGGGGGGTGGATGAAGAAGGAAGACGAAAGAGTAGTTGCAAGCGGAAGTAAAGAAGCAAGATGAAAGAGGAGGGTGGAGAATAATAAGAGAGTAGGAGGAGGAGGAGGAAAGGGGTAGGAAGAGGGGGAAGGGGGGAGGAGGAGGAACGGGGAGGAGGAGCAGGAGGAAAGGGGAGGAGGAGCAGGAGGAGGAAAGCAATAAAGACGCGGAGGAATTTCGAGAAAGAGAAGGTGAAAACGGAAAAAAGCGAGGAAGATAAGTAGACAGAAAAGTAAGAGGGGAGATAAAAGGGGAGGAGGATAAAGAAAAAAGGTGGAGGAAAAGGGGTAAGGGGAAAGCACAGACGAGACATAAAAAAGAAGAATGAGAGGAAGAGGAAAAAGAAGAGGAAGAGGGGAGGAGGAGGAGGAAAGCAAAGAAAAGGTAAAAGATAACGAAAAAGAGGAAAACAAGGCGAAAGAGGAGGAGGAAGAAAGATCGAGGGAGGATGGTGGGAGAGAAGAGAAGGACGAGGAAAAGCGTTTAAAGAGTCGGTAAAAGCAGAAGAGAAAGGAGGAGGTGGCTCGATAAGAATGGAAAGAGGAAGAAGAAAGAAACATGGGTGGAAGGATGAAAAAGAAGAGGTAAAAGAAAATGGATTAAAAAGTGACGGACGAAAGAGAGGAAGGAAAGGAAAGACTAATTCTAGAAGGAAAAAGACTGAAAGAGAGACGGGGTAGGAAGTGAAGGAAGAAAATAGAGAAGTGGAAGGTGTAGGAAGAGGAAGAGATAGAATGAGAAGGAAAAAGGGTTAAGGACAGCTGAAAGTTGAAGAAAAGAAGCGGGCGTGAGAGAATGAGATGGGGTTAGAGGATGAAGAAGAAACGGAGGGGGAAGGGTAGAAATTAAAGCAATAGGAAGGAGAGTAATGACTACAAAAGACGTGGGTAGAAAAACTGGGGAGAGAAGAAAAAATAAATGCCACCTGGGAGTGTGTGATACAAATTATTATCCAAGTAATAAAGCCAGATATGGTTATCGTAAACAAAGAAGTGAAGACCTGTCAACACCGTTTCTTCTTCTTCTTCTTCTTCTTCAATACATTGTACCCTTCAAAACATTGGCGATCATGGCCCTCCACAACTTCCTATCCATCGTAGCCCTTAGAAGCCTTTGTCAAACCTCCCGCCGCCCGTTTCGCTATCCATTCACACGAGCACTCTCTGCTTTTCCTTCTCTCATCATCAATATGTCCCTGTGTAAGTTAAGTTTTCCAAGCCCTCCTTCCTCATTATGTGTTCAAGAATTTTCAGCTGAGTATAAGTGTTCTTTTTGTTACCATTTTCTTTTAGGACTTCCTCGTTGCCTGCTCACTCCGGAATTCTCAATACCACATTTCCGTTTCTTCTTTATCCGTGGGGACATTGTTCAGAATTCACTGCCATGTCGGAGGACTGCTATCACATAAGCAATTCGGCAATCTTTTCTTTTTATGCACATTTCTACCGAGATTTTTTTTCCGTTTCTTAATATTTTGCTTAGCTTTTGGAAAGCATCTTTCGCGATTCCAATGCGTGCTTCGGATTTCGGTGTCGTATTTTCCATCCTCTGTTAAAACGCAGTCTGTTGTTAATAGAAAACCAACAGAAAAAAAATAATACCAATCCGACGAACAAGAAATATAAATGCTTTGTGATTTTAGATTACAGGTGCTACCAATAATTAAGCCACGAAGAAGCACCCCAAAGACATTTCAGTAGTTCTGTTTTTTTTTTACACAAGCTACAAAGCTCGAGCAATTCTGAGAGAACTAGAAGTCCTACCAGGATTCATTACTGAAGGTCACAGTCTTAACAATATAAGATAAGCAGATAACACAGTTTTGATAGCAGACACAAAAGGCAACAAAAACTCCTACAGAAGATAATGAGGGAAAGTGATAAGAAAGGATTAAATATCAACTACAAGAAGATAGAATGCATTTTTGTTAGCAAAAGGTTATTACTATTACATAAGCTGAACTGACGAATATTAATACAATGTAACCCGGATATAAGAGAGTTGTCGGGACCGGAGAAGAAGTCTCTTATATTCGGGTTTCTCTTATATCCGGGTTGGGTCTAATTGATATACATTAACACAGGCTCTAATTTGGGACCAGATAAAATATCTCTTATATCCGGGTTTCTCTTATATCCGGGTTACACTATAGTACTTAATAATAAACTGGATTAACGAATATTACATTAGCTGAACTGACGAATATTAATAATAGTAATCTTAATAGTTACATAAGCCGGACTAACGGATATTATTATTAGATATTTATAATCTGTTTTTACACAAACTACAAAGCGTGAATCACTGAAGTTGATTACTGAATGGGGTTGTTTTATGGGCATAATTGGAGATAAGGAGTATATTTAGGATAGGTATAAGTTGACTTGAGCAAGTTAAGATTGTAATGGTCCGGAAAGCATCCTTTTGGGAGTATGTTCCACAAAGTGGCGGCATTTCCAGAAAAAGTTGTCTGAATCGAAGATCCTTCTTATAATTTGAAAAATACAAAGGAAATGAAGATGATTCGAGTTTTTATCCGTCGTCTTGTCGGGTCATAGCTGTAAAATTTTGAACTGGTGGAACTCGGAAAAGATGCACTTGACTGAAAGTTCATCACGGAAATCGCGAATGATTTTCTCGTCTCTCTTTTTCTTTTCTTTTTTTTTACTCTCTGTATAGATTCGTTTTCCTCACAATTCTCTCTCTCTTTTTTAAAGAAAAGAAGATTTAATGAAAGAAAGGATTAAACATCGATAGCAAGAAAACAAAATGCATGGTTTTTAGCAAAAGGATTTGCCCAAAATGCAAATTACAAATCGGAGATACCAAAATCAAATAAGTGCGGGAATTTAACTATCTGGGAAGTGTTTTAACAGAGGACGGAAAGTGCGACAGTGAGATCCGAAGACGGATTGTGATAACCAAAGATGCATTCCAAAAGCTAAGCAGTGTAAGAAGAAAAAGAAAAATTTCACTAGAAACAAGGAAAAGAGTACTGAACTGCTATGTGATATATGAACTCTTTTATTGACATTAATCCATGTAATATCTGACAATTTCTTAAATCACACAGTATTCCAAATATAACTTCAACAAAATTACAATATAAAACAAACATTAGCACCACTTCTTTTAGGCTTATTCCTATTTATTTGGGCCCCTTCGACCTTATCTAGCAAAACATTCGTATTTATCTGGATGTATTTGTCTATATCAGGGTATTCGTCTCTTCTCTCTCTCTCTCTCTCAATATATATATATATATATATATATATATATATATATATATATATATATATATATATATATATATATATATATATATATATATATATATATATATATATATATATATATATATATATATATAAGAAAATGGACAAGGTCTGACAATTTATTTATTAAAGACATTTTATGTTTAACGTTGTTATTTATAGATACAAGTATTTACAAATGCTCTGTTTATGATAAACAGTATTAAATAAATATATAGGATGCAGGTTCGAATCCCTGTCAAAGAACGAATATTTTCTATGAAAATTTCTGACATTCAGGCCGGTAAATGTTATTTAATACTGTTTATCATAAACAGAGCATTTGCTTAAATACTTGTATCTATAAATAACAACGTCAAACATAAAAATGTCTTTAATAAATATATATATATATATAATAATAAAAAGGTTTAAACACTAATATTCCATGGTATTAGTGTTTAAGTCTTTTTATTATATCCTTACTCTGTCCTGGACATTGAGTTCTACCTGGATTCTATCCTCTTGGAATTTTTTATTCAAAAAATATACATGTATGTGTATGCACCTATGTATATATATTTATATTTTTGTATATGTATGTGTATATTTACCACTAATATTATATATATATATATATATATATATATATATATATATATATATTTTTCTAAGCCCCTTAGATGTGGCACACAGCCGAAAAGTATGGGGCACCCAGTAAGGATCGAACTCCCTAATAAGTTGTAATTATCCAAGCCACAAGTTTGGTAACCATTACACCGCCTCTAGGTGCCCTCTCTCTCTCTCTCTCTCTCTCTCTCTATATATATATATATATATATATATATATATATATATATATATATATATATATATTCCTACATTAATACTTCTCGTTTTCACTCTCGTATGGTCATATGACGTCACGTGCTGCGACGTGATTTTCGCTTCCGCGTCTCGTATAGACGAGTTAGTCGTTGATTTGAAATTTATCAATGCAAACAAAAACAGACTGTCATTATTGTTTCGTCCGCGTATTGGTTGATATATTGAAAAGTAATTGACATCTTTTTATAATGGCTTATGTAAGCGAAAGTTTAGATTGGATTTAAACATGTATCAATATGGTGATTTCCTTTTCGTTTCAATGATAATGTTATTGAGCTTATCAGACAACATAAAGGAACTTAAAATAAATAGACAGAAACTTGTCTATATTATTTAATAAAACATGCATTAATGAAAATTACTGCCTAAATGTACACACTACACACACACACACACACACACACACACACACACACACACACACACATATATATATATATATATATATTTATTTGAAAGATTTTTATGTTTAACGTTGTTATTTTTATAGATACAAGTATTTAAGCAAATGCTCAGTTTATGATAAACAGTGTTAAATAACATTTACCGGCCTGAATGTCCGAGAAATTTCTCGGACATTCAGGCTCGTAAATGTTATTTAATACTGTTTATAACAAAATAAAATTAAAATAACAACGTTAAACATAAAAAATGTCTTTAATAAATAAATTGTCGGACCTTGTCCATTTCTTAATATATGACGTCATTTGTTTACATTTGATACGCCAGAGCAGTTATGAATGTACGAGATTCATGGAAGATTGGAGTTTATAAGCAGTAAATTCGACCTTGTCTACCGAACGGTTCTTTGTAGCCTAGAGGTAAGGCACGTCAGCGTATATGACGGTTCCGTATAGGATGCAGGTTCGAATCCTGTCAAAGAACGAATATTTTCTATGAAAATTTCTCGGACATTCAGGCCGGTAAATGTTATTTAATACTGTTTATCATAAACAGAGCATTTGCTTAAATACTTGTATCTATAAAATAACAACGTTAAACATAAAAAATGTCTTTAATAAATAAATTGTCGGACCTTGTCCATTTCTTAATATATATATATATATATACTTATTCGCAGCTATCTGGGTGTATTCGTCTATACTTGGGCTCATTTGTCCTGGGTATGGCGATAAAATACATCCGGCTGCAAACATGTATATGCACAAAAGCAGAGTATCATTTACCATGTATTCAATTGTGAAAGCGGAATAATATATATCATATTTTTATTACTTCTAAGTTCCCAATAAAATTAAATTTCGGCATTAAATGACCCATAAGATGTTGATATGCCGTTAAAAACAAATCAACAAAATCATCGTACCTAGACTTATCTCCACATATCCGGGTTTAATCCCGTCTCTTTGAGCATATAAGTATCTCTCTCCGCATCTCTCACTTTCTCTCTCTCTCTCTTTCTCTCTCTGTGTGTGCTCTCTCTCCTTTCTCCTCATTATCTTTACCTTTTTACATTTTCTCGTCTGTTCATATATATATATTATTTTTCTATAAAAATTTATATATATATATATATATATATATATATATATATATATCCTTCGCTATCCTTTTCCAACCAGGTTTAGAGTGTTACTGCGCTCTCTATATTACGTTCAAAAACATTTTCGATGACTCGCCATCTTTCTTCCAAATAGATCTTCTTCGAATCTTCGTCATCACGCAAGCAATCTGATTTCTAATAAAGAAAACGAAGTTTCGACTTAATGCGAAATCGATATAGCTTTCAAATTTATGGCCAATCTCGTCAAATCCTTCTTCAACAGAACTGAGATTTTAACAAAGTCGGCACCGTCGAAAATACTATGAAACTGCCTGACTACAGACGAATCTGCGATGGCAGCATTTCCCGGCTGAACATTAAAAGCATCGAGACGCTCACATTCGCTACTAAGAACGCTGAAATTACAGCCTCTTTCCTACCTTTCTCTCTGTTATTCACCAAATCTCTCTATATTGCTCACAATCAATATGTCTCTCTTTCGCTCTCACTGCGGTAAGTAAACTTAATATGTAAATATATCTGAAAATATATCTATGAATATATGTATTTGGGTTTTTTATCTGGTTCTAATTGCATCTATCTAGTCATGTTAGCATCTCTACATCAGGGCGTACTTGCACGCCACTCGGGGTTTATTTACATATATCTACCGAACTGGTCTTATTTTTATTTCTTTCGGCTTATTCGCCCTTATCTATAGGGGCTAATTTATTTACATTAAATCGATTATTTTAGGCGTATTCGTATCTATCACGTCTTATCTGAATCTGTTTGGGCGTATTCGTATCTATCACGGCTTAAATATCTCTTTTTGGGCTTATTCGTATCTATCTCGGCTTATATGTATCTATTTTGGCGTAACGACATCTATCTCGGCTTATCGTTATCCATTTGAGTGTATTAGTATCTATCATTCATATATATATCCATTAGCTGTATAAATATCTGCGCGTATTCATATATATCCCATTTATCTCAATTATCTGCATCTAGCTGTTAAATATCTGGGTGTATTCCTACATATATCTTTTCGGCTTATCTGTATTCATTTTCTGAGCGACCTATTCGTTCATTTATTCCTCGGAGCTTATCTGCATCTATCCTTCGGGAGGTAAAACCGGCTCATTTATACAGGTTCAAATGGCTGTATCTATCTGACGCCCTCGTCTTCTTAGTCGTCCAGAAAATTTCGTGGGGGGGCTCAATCTTTGTATCTATTTCAAATGGGCTTATTTGCCGCATGACGCATATCCCAGAAAATGGCCTTATTCGTATCTATAAGGCTGTTGGAGGCGCACCCAACCTTTCCTACTAACCGGCCCAGAACCCGTTTATACGGGTTCAAATGGCTATTTTGGTCACCTAATGGCTCGGGAATGCCCATTAAAAAAGGCCTTGTATGACGCCCCTCGTGGGGGGGTGACTAAATATCTTAGAGCGACTGATCAGTTCAACTCTCTTTCTATGGGGACCCGAAGGGCTACGCCGAAGGGCGGAGTCTCCTTCGGGAGAGTTAAACGTTAGAACGTCCAAATGATTTTTGGCCGGGCCTAATGGCTCTGGAATCCTTGTGAGCGACGTCCAGATAATTTCTGGTTCGGTTCAACTCTCTTCCTACGGGGAACCCGAAGGAGGCTACGCCGAAGGGCAGGAACCCGATACGGGTTCAAATGGCTACGCCGAATGGCTCCAGAATGCCCACGTTAAAAAGGCCTTGTGCCTTCGTGGGGGGACTAAATATCTTGTCCAGATAATTTCTGAAATCGTTCAACTCCTTCCTACGGGCGGGAGAAACCCGAGGGAGCTACGCGCCGAAGGGCGGAGTCTCCTTCAAGGGATACCCGGGTTTATACGGGTTCAAATGGGCTATTTTTTGGCCGGGCCTAATGGCTCCAGGAATGCCCACGTTAAAATGGCCTTGTGCCGCATGACGCCCTCGTGGGGGGTGACTAAATATCTTAACGTCCAGATACTTTCTGAGCGACTGATCGTTCAACTCTCTTCCTACGAGAGGAACCCGAAGGGAGGCTACGCCGAGGGCGACTCCTTCGGTTCAACCCGTTTATACGGGTTCAAATGGGCTTGCCCACGTTTAAAAGGCCTTGTGCCGCATGAGTGGGGGGTGACTAATATCTTAGACGTCCAGATACTTTCTGGCGACTGATCGGTTCAACTCTCTTCCTACAGGCGGGGAACGGAGGCTACGCCGAAGGGCGGAATCTCCTTCGGGAGAGGGTTCCAAATGGGCTGGCCCCCATTGGCTCCAGGAATGCCCGTTAAAAAGGCCTTGTGAACCCGTTTAAATACGGGTTCGAATGGGAGGAACCCGAAGGAGGTATTTTTGCCGGGCCTAATGGGAATCCCACGTAAAAAGGCGGAATGCCAGATAATTTGAGCAATTGATTTTCAACTTCTTCTAAAAGGCCTTGTGCCGCAAGACGCCCACGTTAAAATGGCCTTTGTGCCGCGGGGGGGTGACTAAATATCTTAGACGTCCAGATACTTTCTGGAGCGACTGATCGGTTCAACTCTCTTCCTACGGGCGAGAGGAACCCGAAGGAGGCTACGCCGAAGGGCGGAGTCTCAACGAGGACCTTTCAAATGGGAGGTAATGGCTCGGGAATGCCCACGTTAAAATGGCCCAGAACCCCTCGTGGGGGTGACTTATCTTAGACGTCAGATACGGGTTCAAACTCTTTTTTGGGCGAGAGGAACCCGAATGGCTCGGGAATGGCCCAGAACCCGTTTAAAAGGCCTTTTTGGCCGAGCCTAATGGCTCCAGGAATGCCCACATAAAAAGGCCTTGTACATGACGCCCCTCGTGGGCGGGTGACTAAATATCTTAGACGTCCAGATACTTTCTGAGCGACTGATCGGTTCAACTACTCTTCCTACGGGCGAGAGTTTATACGGGTTCAAATGAGCCCGAAATGGCTCGGGAATGAAGGCTCGTGGGGGGTGACGCCGAACGGGGAGCGACTGATCGGTTCCTTCTTCCTACGGGCGGGGAACCCGAAGGAGGCCCAGAACCCGTTTATACCCGGGTTCAAATGGCTCCGGAATGCCCACGTTTTTAGGCCGAGCCTAATGGCTCAGATATGCCCACGTTAAAAAAGGCCTTGTGCCGCATGACGCCCTCGTGGGGGGGCCGGACTAAATATCTTAGACGTCCAGATAATTTCTTAGACGTCCAGCGACTGATCGGTTCAACTCTCTTCCTACGGGCGAGAGGAACCCGAAGGAGGCTACGCCGAAGGGCGGAGTCTCCTTCGGGAGGGGCCCCTGGTTTATACGGGTTCGGCCCTGCCCGGGCCCTCGTGGGGTGGCTACCCGTTTATACGGGTTCAGGAGTGCCGGTCGCCCTCGTGGGCTCAGACGTTATATTTTTTTTGCCGTCCAGAAAAAAAGGCCTTTGAGCGACTAATGGCTCTTCCTTCCTGGGCGGGAGGAACCCGGGAGGCTACGCCGAAGGGCGGATCTCCTTCGGGAAAATCGGCCCAGAACCCGTTTATACAGGTTCAAATGCGACGGCCCCTAATGGCTCCGGCGCCCACGTTAAAAAGGCCTAAACGCCCCTCGTGGGGGTGACTTATCTTAGGACAGATACTTTCTGACTGATCGAACTCTCTTCCTACGGGCAGGAGGGAACGAAGGAGGCTACGCCGAAGGGCGGAGTCTCCTTCGGGGAGAATAAACAAACCGTTTATACGGGTTCAAATGGGCTATTTTTTTGCCGAGCCTAATGGCTCGGGAATGCCCACGTTAAAAAGGGCTTGTGCCGCATGACGCCCTCGTGGGGGGGGTGACTAAATATCCCGTCAGATACTTTCTGGACTGATCGGTTCAACTCTCTTCCTACAGGCGGGAGGAACCCGAAGGAGCTACGCCGAAGGGCGGAAGTCTCGGCCAGAACCCGTTTACTGGTTCAAATGGGCTATTTTTGGCCGGGCCTAATGGCTCCGGGAATGCCCACGTTAAAAAGGCCCGCCCTCGTGGGGGTGACCTTAGACGTCCAGAAAAATTTCTGAGCGACTGGGTTCAACTCTCTTCCTTTACGGGCGGGAGGAACCCGAAGGAGGCTACGCCGAAAAGGCAGAGTCTCCCTTCGGGAATTGAACCCGTTTATATGGCGGGTTCAAATGGGCTGTTTTGGCCGGGCCTAATGGCTCCAGGAATGCCCATGTTAAAAGGCCTTGTGCCACATGACACCCTCGTGGTGGGGCGGCTAAATATCTTAGCAGTCCAGATAAGCTTACCTGGTACATACCGTTGGTCTATAGACTTTGGATATTGTTTCGTACTAACCAACCTTCGTTCTACTAATCACTCTATTGTTAATTGCGTTTATGAATATACCAGTATTTTCCTCTACAACTGTGTTTGTCTTTATTCATACACCGACACGCGGGAAACTCACAACATCTCAAAGGCCTAATTCGGCAGTATGCATCTATGCTTATTCGCATCTATAGATGTATTCGACTGTCTATCAGGACTTATTCGACTCTATCTTGGATTATTCTCATCTATTTGCGTTTATTACTATCTGTCGTGGTTTAATCACATGGATCCACCTGATCAATTTGATTTCATTGAACCGTATCTATCTATGTGTGTAGGGCTTATTTTCTTATATTTGGTGTCATCCGTCTATACAGGGCGTGATGGCGAAATTGTCGTTTAAATTACGTAAAAAGTACACAAAAATATCTTAAAATACAAAAAAGTAAATATATTCAATAAAATTACCATTGTCTTCAACCATGGATTCCAAACGACTTCGGAATCTCCTGCAACTCTTCTGGGCGGTCTCCTTCTTTAAATTGGTGAATGCTGCCATAATATTTGCCTTCAGTTCATCTTTGGTGTTACAAGGAGTTTTGTTGGTCTCTCACTCAACTGCACCCCACACATAATAATCAAGGGGTTGCCGTCTGGAGAGATAGTTGGTCAAATGTAAGGGGAGATGTGGTAGCAGAAATTGTTTAACATCAATGAATGTTAACCAGAAATAGTTTATTGTATGTATGTATTTACAGTATTTACATTAGTCGGACTATTGTCCTCATCTTTGTCGCCATATTTGTCACAACGTTTCGGCCGTTGTACGCTCCGGCCTTCTTCAGGTGGCTGGAATTTCGAACTGAACCCTTTATTTCGATCACTGGGGTAGACTGTTCTAGTTCCACGTGCCATGTTTAATGGATGTCAGTTATCAGTTATCTCCTGCTAATTTTTCCTCTGAAAGTTCTCAAGGACACATGGCACAGTGGATAAAGGCGTTGGTTAGATCCAGTGACAGACCCCAAGAAGGTGAGTTCAATTTCTGGTTAAGGCAGTGGAGAATACAAGGACAATAATTACTAATGTAAATACTGTACATAATACCTCATCTCAGAAATATAGACAGACTATGTATGTATTTATATAATGTTTTCATTTTCAAAACACGGCCATGATATTGTGTCCATGTTCATAGTTGATTTTACAGAGTGTTTGTTTCTTGTTTTTATTAATAAGGCTACCATTATTTTAACCTTTTTTTTTTTGTAGATGATGCTGTGTTACGAATAGGGACCGGTAGGTCTCCATGAATATTTAAACGTGATCTAATTGAGCTATTTCACTTAATATGTTTCAACCTTGAAAATAGCTATATATATAGCCGAAAGCGCTCGGATAAAAAAAAACAATTAGACAGTTTTTATATAATTTATCATCCGAAAGAAAAAAAAAATTATTAGATCACACGAGAAATTGTATAACAAACTAAATCAAACTAAATCAAAATACATACATACAACAAACTATTTCTTGTTAACCTTGCCTGTCGTATTAAATTAATATATATATATATATATATATATATATATATATATATATTTTTGCTCTGGATTTACATTGAGCTCTCTGGATTTTATCTTCCTTAGGTTTACCCATACGGATTACCTAGTTTTTTCATAAACTATATATATATATATATATATATATATATATATATATAAAGAGAGAGAGAGAGAGAAAGAGAGAGAGATAAGAAAAATTAATATACACACGCATAACTGAAAACGTAAATATTAGATTACATATATTTGGTAAATATATCTGTTAAAATGAGATGTCAGTGTTCGTTTCATTTTTGCGTAAATTAGACGACAATTTAACCATCGCTTCGGTATATATATATATTTATTAAAGACATTTTTATGTTTAACGTTCTTTTTTATAGATACAAGTATTTAAGTAAATGCTCTGTTTATAATAAACAGTATTAAATAACATTTACCGGCCTGAATGTCCGAGAAATTTTCATAG